TATTGGATCATTTACTTGTTAAATTTACAAATGTTTAGTAGCATCTTAGCTTGTCACTTTGATAAGTTATAAATCTGTGCTTGCAATCGCGTCTTTTACTGACGATATCGACGAAACGTTTGAGAATTTACGAAGTGAATGGTCCAATGCTTCAAATCACTAATACTACAGGACACGGGACTCCTTGATAGTCCAACCAAGTTGCGAAAACAAGGTCGAACCAACACCATTAAAAAGATAAAGGTTAATTTCGGAACAGAGAAAGTTTTACTATAACCTATACAAAGTTTGCTCAATTTAAAAATATTAATTTAAAGTAAAATCTAATGAAATAGACAGCATCTCATTCTAGAGCAAATGCCTTTTAGAACGCAATAAATTTTAACATTTGTTACATTAATAATACAGAATTAACCAAATATAAATTCATCGATGTGCTTAATTGTGATTAGTTGGAAAAATAAAGGTTCAGTTGAAGTATCATTTAGGGAAACATAAATATCAGAGACCAGAAGATAAATTAAAAAATCTCTTGCATGTATAGATAAATGTTTTAAAAAAAAATTAACAATATTATAATTGTATACAATCAAAAGAAATTCAGACAAGTAATGTGTAGAATGAATTCTCGAGAAGACCCAGTTGAAAGTCTAAATGTGGAAGATAAAATGAATACAAAGGAAAAACAATAAAAACGTTCATTAAAAGCCATTAAATAAAAGATATAAAAATTTGTCTGTAAATGCAAATAAAGAAGTTCAATTATGTACAAGTGGTCAGTAAAAGCAAAATGGCCTTTCGAAGAGAATTCGTCTACAGACATCTTAGGTGTGCTAGAATATACTCCATAAATTTCAGTCTAAATTGCCTGATTTAGTCTAGCCCAGTCACCCAAAAGAAGATTTAAGAAAGCCAGTAAAAACGATTGCGGGATAAAATCCGCTACTGAAAGGGAAAAAATGACTATATTCTACAAAACATTTAAAAATAGTTATGTAATTAGTCTTCAAAATAATGACAAATTTATTAATTAGAGAAAGGTAAAGTGGTGGAAAAATATATAATCATTATTCGTAGGTATGGAGACCAAGATGATGGGGCCTTTTGTTTGGACGCAGTCTACTTTGGTTGTATAGAGGTTATTTGACCTTGTTTTCACAACTTGGTCATTTGGTAGGAAGACTTAGAGGAACGCACCTAGTCCGGAGTCCTTTGTAAGTATGATCATTTCCAGAGTCGGACCGTGGACATGGTACATTCCCAGACGTTTCGCTGGGATCGTTAGTAAGCATTGCCGGTATTAACACCACACTACAACTCGCCAAAGAAACAATTGAAGCCAATCCTCTGAGCAATTGTCTCCTCAACAATAGTGATATCTATCCTTCAGCCGAGTACTAATCACCTATCACGCCTTCACTATCATACTATTTTACTTGCATATTTAAATGTGGTATGGGGTGCCTTTTTAAGCGGATTTCATGAGAACACTCCATACTCACCTCCTTCACCTTTGTGCCCTATTGTTACGCAATCCTTCTTCCATAGGTCTTCTTATCAGAGTCTCCCTTTTGTCCCGTAGGATCCGTCTGCTAGAACCTGGTTCAAGTATTTCACCCGACCCCTACCACCCTATCTGTGCTACTCGAGGCGTCATTTCCCACACTCTGCGTCTGGGAGACTAACTTGAGGCTAAAGCCCTTGCGCAATTCTCATGGTCAAGCCTTGAACGAAATAGGGTGAACACATCTCATATACATGATTTAATGATATTCTCGAAACCCTACTTGCAAACGAAAAATAGATATATTTTAAACGAGCATAGTAAATAAAGTATAATGATGCGAAGGGAGTACAAAGTCAAATCAACCATACATAGCTTGATAACGATAGTTAAACTCTTCTCTAAGATAAAACAATGAGTAGAATTCATTAGTCTGAGGAATAAATTATGAACTAAGAAAGATAACTTCTAGTTAAATAGTTAAAAAGTGAATTAATGCCGTCAAATTGATGGATTCAATACGAAGTTAAAAGAGTCTTGTTAAGAAAGAGAAAAATTAAATATGTGATGCAGAGTGATTTGCAATAAAAAGGGAGAAATCTACTTAATAAAAAAGCATCTAATACCAAGTACTGATAACGTATTAATTTAATTATAATTTAGCAGTAGCACTTAGGCCTAAAAGTACATTATTTCTAACGAGTTTCGATAAGATATGACGATATGTATATTCCATTGTACAACTTTAGGTGACAGAACTAAGAGATAACTCAAATTCTTTTATCTGCAACCAATAGTTTAACCCCTGTACAATAGATCGATTTGGTCTAGTTAAGCTAAACCAGATCTATTTCTCACCCCGTCTTTCTTAAGAGTGATTCTTCCACGGGCGACACGAACTCATTGCGCGCAAAACCAGATCACTATCCCTCAACTAAGAGATGGAGTACGAGGCATTTTATGAAAAGTTATCAAATACCAATAAATCTAATAATAGCCATTATAAACTAGTGATGAATCTTTAAATCTACACATTTTAATCTTCAGGCAGAATAGTGGCGCCTCTTATCCATTCAGTGCCCGTGGCGAAGTGTAATAAATACCAGTTAAGTTAGGATGAAGTCACGAGATATAGAAAACACCAATTATTGTTTGGTACCACCTGACTTGCACACCATTTTGGTCCATACAGTTTACTTACGATACAGTCTCCCTCTCTGGCGAGGCCGAATACCGGGAAAGCGCGGCACAAAAACTTTACGGAGTACAAAATAACACATTCATTCCATATCTAGATGTTTAAAATAGAAGAAAGTAGATATTAGTATCATGTGTGAATAAAGGAATACATGGTAGAGTAAAAGTTTCTAAAAAAATAAAGATAATAATAATGAAATGACCTATCAGTAATCAGAGAATAATGGGTGGGAAGGAAGAAGTTGGTGAGGAACATTCTATAATTAAGAGAAGACATTTTACGTGGGTATATTATGCTAAAAGATACAACTACGAATTTAGGGGATTGATTGTCATCAGAACGGGGAGACGGATAATCACAACCTTCACAGAAATTCGGCATTATGGTTAATGGGTCGGGCGAAAGTGATAAGAAATTTCATTAGAGATACAAAATGAGACAAGAGATGGACTCGTACTGTTTACTCAGGATACACGGAATAACAGAGATTGACCAAGAAAACAATGCCTGATATCTGCAGGCATGGGAATCAGAATAGGCGCTAGGCTCTCGCGTAAGCCACTGAATACGTGCTATCAAGGGCTTGTAGTACATCATGAGAAATAGCGCATGGAGTAAAACTCACACTGCGACTGGAACCCAAGGAAGGCAGTCAACCCGTAAGATGATGATTCGGATAGCAGGTCGAAGTGAGATGAGCAATTACGACAAAGCGAGAGGCAAGTTAAATAAGCAGGTTTAATAACGCCCTATTAAACTCTCTAAAGGTGAAATTTCTAAATAACACAAGCATTTGGTAGAAATATGAGGTGTATTTGTCCTATTTCGTTTAAGGTGGTAAGGGAACTGGTAGCTAAATTTGTCCACTGGTATAAATAGACCTTACGCTCCCGGTGAATTTCGCAAAGCCTTGTTTTCCCAAAAGTAATTCTTATCCAAGGGAGAACGTGATTTCGATCTAACCTAGGTCTCATCAGCACTCCTAGCCGGCTTCGAGCCATAATACTGCAGCGTGTAGCCTCGAAAGGCTGGCCACTAAGAAATGCTGCTACGAGTGCCTTTGAATGAGGGTGACAGGGCAGATATAAATCTCAAGCAAAGCGAGATATTTACGCATATCACATTGTTCAGCAGGATTTTCGATGAGGCAAAGTTTTATTTGCTATATCAGACGGCATTACTTATTTTTCGTTAATAAAAATATTTGTAGCATACACTTTAGCAATAATTAAATCAGTCAAATAATAATAAATTGATCATAGCAAACATTTTCACAGGGAAAAAAATGAATACCAGGTAGCCATTTTACAAAGTTCCTTTGGTAAATTACCAGAAGGAATTACGTTTTGGTGAAAACAATCTGTATGAATAGATGCCTCGAGGATATCCACTCCCTCGTCAGTAAACTTCTGGATTTTTGACGTTTGAAGAGGGTACAGCTGATACACAGTCATTCGTGGCTTCAAAAAGCAAGTAGATTCAGTGACAGCAAAAAGAGGATTAGCAAATGATACATTACAGTTGGCATTTGAATTTGAAAAAAATATTGTTACAAATAGCCTCGCATCCCCTAGCTGCAGAAAAATTAGTTTGAATATGCACAATCAATGCCCAAATAGCACGAAGAATCAAACGAATCTGAAGAAACGATCGTAGTGCATAAAGGCAAATAATGTAATGTAGTTGATTTTGAAGTGCTCAGAGACTTCTCCTGACCGATGGATCCTGTAGAACGATAGGAAGAATTGCACAAATTATCTGAATTCTGAGTGGTTTTGTTCAATTGCAAAGCATCTGTCATCTTTTCATTTAAAGTTCTTTCTTCTGTAACCTGATGGGGGTACGTCAAAAGCTTTATTGGGCAATCTAATAAATCAGGAATGACGTTGATTATAGGTGAATTTAAAGCCAGTATTGAGCAGTTTGTTTGGGAGGGTGCTGCAGAATCAGATATAGTTTGAAGAGTAGAAGATTCAGTGAGTAAGCCAACTATGTTTTGTCCTAAGCAGGATTTATGATAATCTTGCGAAGAATCTTCAATAATAATGTCATCGCAGCTTAATCGTCGCTCGTTCGCTTTACAAAATTTCTCATTTTGTTCGGTCTGCTTTTCAGTAAGATTGTCTTCATTGTCTGAATCAGGTACTTCAGCGACCCCTCTATCCTCCTCTGTTGTCTGCTTACGATGGCTGCATAGCATGCCAAGTACAAAGAGCGTTAGCACCGGGAGAGAGGATAAGGCTGCTTT